TGCACTACAAGATTCTTGGTACATATTATTATGGAGACATATTAATTAGTTCTTTAAACACAATGCAGATCACCAGGTTTACCTCTCTCCTGGAGGCAAAACTTCAACTGATGTGTGAAGACTCCTATATAAATGGTATTTGTGTTATGAGAACTGTTGCCTTAATTTTCTGCTGAAGTTGTAAGAATGTTTTCATGCATCCCATTTCTAAGTACTTCCTCATCATCTTTTAATACTGCACCAGAGTCTGCCTGACAATGGTATTTTGTAGGCTTTACTTTGGTGAGTGTATGAAAGCAAGTCCAGCTCAGTGCATTGCTACACATAGATAGCTCATTTAAAAAAAAAAAAAAAGCAAAATCCTTTACCACTCTTCCTTTTAACAGTGATGAAAAAACATAGAATCCTATCATAAATAAGCAAGCAGATTTGGTCTACTGTAATGGCAGGGGTCTGAAAGATGCAGCTTCCTTTGCAAAATCAAGGGCTGCAGCTTTTTCTCAGGAGAACCACTGTACAAGAGTGGCCCTCTTCTCCGACTTCCAGAAGTGGTTAGTAGGTGGCGCTTTGCTGACCGACAGTTAGCCCGAAACATCTGAATGAACATTTACTTTCAAGAAACTCTGACTACCTAGACTGAAAAAAGACAGTTTTTTCAAAGTGGGTCCAGCTAGACATTCAGAAATGATTAACAGGCAAAATTTTACTTTTGAAATGCTAGCAAAATGTCTTTTTTTTTTAAATAAAAATATTTTAATTTGTATAGAGAGAACTTGTCCTTCTAACACTTACTGTTACAGTTTCATACAAGAAATAACATAAAATACCACAGTGACGAAATCAGCAAAGACATACTTGGATCTGCTCTAAAAGTGCTGCAGTCTGCAGCGTGGATAACAATCTTTGAGCTAAAACAAAGGAAAACATTGTTCGCATTTCATAGAAAAGAGAAGAAAACTGACACTACATTCCTAATACTTATGTTTATTATTAAAGTGTCTCCAAATTAAAATAGCCCACAATACTGATTGGTTCCAGAGATTTTATGAGGAGTAATTATTTTCCATATTAAAAAAACCCCAAACCAACCAAGCTAAACACAAAATAACTCCCAAAGTTCTACACAACAGCTATACAAGAAAGGATTTCTAGCTAGCACATCACTGTGTCTGGGACAGTGGAGTTCCTACACATCACTGCATTTCTGAAAGAGTTGCTCAAGCACAGGATCGTCATGAAAACACAGGTGAAATAGTGTCATCTGCCTCACCCTGACTTGTGACAGGCAGCCAACATATACAGTACGGTATGAGAGCTTGTGTATAGAAGTTAAACCCTGGAACTGCAAGAAGCTGAAGCTCAACAGAAGCCAGAAAATGTGTTTGTTGCACAGGTCATTTCAGGTCATTTACAACAATCATTTTTGTCTTTTGTCTGACGTGTGATCAATTGTCATGGCTCCAAAACACCATTTCATAGTATCTCCTCCAGTTTTTTAATTGAAAGCAATTTCAAAGCCTGAGAATTCTGTACAGACACACTCAAACACTGTGTTTTCATTGCAACTACAATCAGAAATCTTTACAATTTGAAGGCTATACAGGTACACCACTCCAAACTTCCACTAGTGCTTTTTAAAAAGAAAAGAAAAAAAGAGGAAGGTTGTCTTACTGAAGTTCCCATTAGGTCCCTCTTCCAAATCAAAACCAGTCAAAACAAGTAATACAAACTGGTTTTGCTTTATGGTTTAAAGGCAACTGTAGTTTGCAGAACACTGAAGTTAGGCCTAATAGGGTCTACATTACAGGAAGGGTAAAAAGTATTTGATAGCTCCTCTCACACAAATGTCACAAGAAGTAGACAATAGAGAGACGTACAAAAATGAGTTGTAGCAAAGAGATTAAAAAAATACCAAAGCATCAACTGTAGAAAACCAACGGTAGCCCATATTTCTCTTGAGAATATGGAAGGCTGCAGTAATGAGTAGCTGAATGAAACAGGCATTAGGCTTCCTACTAGAATACTCTGCATAAAACAAACGCGGTGTCTATATCAACCAGTGTTGATCATCATTGACGTTTGCTGCAGGGTAACGGCTTTTGCCGTCGTGTCCTGTTCAGAACCAGAAAGTGATTGTCACCTGAAACAGATACAGATTTAAGACAGGAATCACTTCACTGTAAGCAAAGCTTTAGTCCATGTACTTGGGTCTCAGAAAAAGGATTTGGTATTGTCAATCACACAGAATGGTCACAGGCTGAGACAGGAGCATATGAAGCTGTTCACACCTGTTCCAATTCTGCTGGAATCATTAAATAAATAACACATAGAAAAAACTACAAAATGGCAACAAGGAAACAGCATGGGACACTTTGGTATTTTAGAACTAGCACTACTTAACATTGATCAAGATCCAAAAGACTCCAACGTCCACCCTTGTTGCTCAATCAGATATTTCTACCATTTTCTGCAGTGTTTGGTTTTAGTTCCTTACGAAAAAAAAACCCCACCATATATTTTTCTTTTGGTACAAAATATGCCAATATGGGAAAAAGTAAACAAAGGGAGACCTGAATCTTATTTTACTATATTCTGGGCTGGCTAGGGAGAGAAGACAAATTCTTACTATTTACTAATAAACTCTACATATAATTTCCTCATTTTTCTACTTCAACATCTCAACCACTGTGTCATGTACCATACTATAAAAAGGTAGCATAGAACTTGAAGACAAATCGGTTATAGAGTACAAACCATCATTTCTAAAATGACTAAAATGACAATTCTACAAAAGGTACGAATATACAGAACATTTTAAGATCTCGCATTTACCATGAGCCATGCAAATAATTTCAATCAATTTCCTGGAATATACGCAATTATCCTCTAAATTCTTGATGGCCTCCAAAACCACCTTGCAAAGCTCTTCGGCAGAGAAGCAAACAAATTCAAGTGAAAAAGGAAATAGTTGCATGACATTCTCTCTGCAGGGTGGAAGATGAAGCCAAAGTTTTGACATCCATTGGTTAACGCAATGAATTAAAACACGCTGCCATGTATGGTCACTAGAACGCTTGGTCCTTCCCAAGAAAGACAGAAAGAATTGTGTGAATTTTTAATTTTTGTAAAACAACTGTAGCTTGGAAGTTTAGTGATTGTTTAGCAAAATTTAGTGAAGTTCTCAGTGCTTCCTTACTCTTACCCCATTTCCCCAAATGTGTCATCTGAATCTCTCATCTCACCTATTTTCCAGACATATCTGTATTAAGTTTATTCTAGGCTGCTAAGAAAGGACTCCAAAACCCAGGTTTATAGGAGATAAGTAAGTCACTGGGAGTCAGATGGACCATGGTAACTGTGTACATGCTTTAGCGCATCAAAGATGCAAACTGAATTTAAACCTTAAAGGAAGAGTTTCAATCCAAGTTGCATTATTTAAGAGTGGGGATACACTAAGAGCATATGTAGCCAGTGATGGTAAATCATTTCAAGGGTTGTAGCCTTGACTGTACATCTGAATCAACACTATAGAGCACAACTGGGGAGGACCAACAGGGACCAAAGGTCTCCTGCCTCTTCCACAGCGATTGTTATTGGGAACCGCTCTCTGTCCTGGTATCAACAACATTACAGTACTATTGTATGTATGTTGCCTATGTTGATAGTTCAGAGCAACATTCTGTCCCCATGTAAGACAAAATATTTTGCCAGAATGCCATTTTTGCAACCATCTTTGCAGATGGGAAATGGTCCAGTGGAGGTAGTAATCAACACCATGAAAGAGGTGTGTTTAAACTGCTATTCTCAATTATCATCCTAGCAGGTCATATTTCAGAAATTATAATGTTCATTGAAAATCTCTCAGGATGGTTTTGTTTTAAAATCTCGGTATCATTTTGACAGAAATTATTAAACAATCGCCAGTTCAAATACTGTGGATAGGATACTTTTTCTTGCAATTACTGTATTTTCACATGTATAACCTGCCCTGCTGATAACTGTATGAAATCAGAGGCACAGGAGACAGATGAGAAAAATTAGAGGCAGAGAAGCTTCTGGGGGAGAAGGAGATTTAAATAAGATTTCCTTGCCCCCTCAGATATACTTGTGGACATAGAAGCTATGCAGCTGCTGAATTACAAGGTTACCTGGCTTTTTCAAAAGATGCTCTGTGGGTAGTAAAACTGACAGCTCTTCTATGATTTACAGTTTTTTGGTTTCCTTACCTTTACTGTCTACTAAGTGGAGGTATTATTTTCATTCATGCCATTCTGCCTTTACTTTTAGCACATTTTTTGCTAACACACAAGGGTCCCTATTGGATAATAAAGGTTTCAGAAGTTTTCAAGAGTGACCAATAGAATAGGACAAATCTCAGTTTTTCAAAAGAAAGAAGTGGCAACACAACTTTCTTCCATGGAGTCTGTATAAAACAGAGCCTTTAAACATGTTTTATGGCATCAGAAACCATCTATATTTTGCTATTTGCATAGGTGGAAGGAATCAGAAAGATCTCCTGGCTTAGAGTTCCAGCTGAACACGGCACTCCAATCTCTTTGTATATAGAAGACACACCGTTACATTTTTTTCCTGGTTTGTTCCTTCCTTTTTTTTTTTAAATATATATATAAGTCTTTGGTCTATAAGCACATTGGTTCTGTGTGCACATAAACAATACTGTTGAACAGTAGGTTGCATAGAGTCTGTTACCCAAGAACCTTGCCTACTTTTGGCACTGCTGTCAAAAAAAAAAGTGTCCTGCAAGAGTTGGTTGATCCTTAGCATCCTACATCAAACTTTGATCTAGAGACTGGAAGAAGTGTGTATATAATGTTTAAAAAGATGTTTATTTTGGGTGTTAATTTGTCTTCTTTGGGACAATTTCTAAATCTTGGATGAAAAAGGAGGGCAAAATTATTTTACAGACACCCTTAATTTTATTTGTAGAGGTGATGAAATACTGCTGAGCATTCAAAGTTTGCTGTGAATTACATTAACTGAATTTTGCTTAAGTTTTCATGCATTTAAAATAAACTAATCCTAGTAATGTATGACATTCTGCCTTCTCTCTCTTCACCCTACCAAGAAAGTGGCAATAATTATAAGAACGATACCTAGACTGAACTGTGTCCGAGGAAGCAATGAACTTTTCATCTGCTATTTTTTCCATTACACCCCTGCTCTGATCCATCTGAACGTGCAAGAACAGTTTCAGGAGTGATGTCTGGATTCACAATGGTGCACTTGAACAAACACCTTTCAACATGGAATCTCTGCAAAAAGCTAAAATCTGTAGAGGTCAAAAATTGCAAGGCAAAAAAAAAAAAAAGTGAGAATGAGTTTATCCCAATCATTGACATCAATGCTTTTGGGTATTTGCACAACAAATCAAGTCTACTTCTAATGCAATTAACCACCAAATTGAATTTTAAATTATGCTAAAATAATATCCCACAATTACCACAGTTTTTTTCCCCAAATTGCTAATCGACCACATTACCTACTATTTAAAATATCAATCCAGTGTTTTAAAACTTTACGTTGGAGGAATGGCCACTGTGATTTGATAGGCAATTTCAAAACCAGCACTTTAAAACACAAAGATAGCAAAAATATCTGAAGCAGATCTAGAATCTATAAAGCTATGTTCTATCTTACTGTAAGTAACAAATCAAGCAACTATTACTTATAGCAGACTCAGCAAAAGCAACAGGGATGGACAGAAGAGATCTGAGCATGATGCTCTCTACCACTGAGAATCCGAAGAGATAAAGGTTGAGAATGGATATTCCCTTTTGTCCAGAAGTTCCCAAAAGAACACAAAATAAATAATATTTCAAAGACAGTACAAGTGAAAATACTGCTCCCATTGTGTCAGTTACATACACATACAGCATGCCTACGTATACAGAATGGTGTGTTGTCTTCATTCACAAACAGGAAATATGGCAGTGCGCTATCAGAATGCTTTGATACTCCTAATTTTTTCTGATGCTGAGATATATGAAGAAACCGCATTCACAACTTATAATTTACTTCCAGTAGCAAACAGTTCATTCTGTTCGTGTCTCATGATTGAACTCAAGGATTAATGCTCCTCTGAGCAAGTGCCACCAGTAAGATACCCATTTGTCCCATTGGCACCGCTAGTCCCATTAGTGGTGATAGTGCTGTGCAGGGTCTTTGAACGAGGTACTGTTTCTTCCTCATCTGAGCTTGACTCAATGTCACTTCGGTCATCCTTTGCTACCTGTAGAATTTGAAAAAGCAGCAAGCAGTAGGTGATTGTAAGAAAACAACTGAGCTTTTCGGTTCAAGAGAATCAGAGAATTCAAACATTTTTCAATTTGAGCTTTGAAGGTGGTCTCGGCTCTGGCACACTTCTCTGCCTTTGCCTGCCTGGACTCACTTCAAACACAGATGCCTGTACACACATATGCCATGTGCAAAGGCAGGTTGAGAACTTTGCACTGGTGCGTTGAAGGTAGTATGTTCAAGTGCAGGCACAGTGCTCAAAGCAAAGGGTTGTGCACAGACTAAAGGAACTAATAATTCAAGCTCCCAAGTTCAACCTAGCCTCAGACCCCTCTGCCCTCCTACTACAACTTTATTTCCTTTGCTTCCTTTGGGGTGTTTCCCTTTGACCTGATAGTACAAAATATTCACCCCAACTTCCTCCCCCTCACCTCCCAACTCATTCTCTAGAGGCCACATGGCTCCAGGGAACAGTGCTACAGGCTGGCAGTAGGAGACAGGAGTACTGGCCAAAACATAACTCACTGCACCAGGTAACTCCAGTCTCTGACTTCAGGCAAGTGGTGAGAACAGGGCTTGGAAACCGTAGACATAGTCCACTTCAGTCCCTACCACAGGAACCACAAACGTACTTCAGCAGTTCAACTGCCTGCCCCATTGTGTCACTGGAAAGCTGTTTCAGAAACTGACCTTAATTGCTAGGGATTTCGTGCTAATTTCCAGCTGACTTCTTTCCTGCCAGTTTATACCCATTTCCTGGGTGAATGCTGTTCCTTATGTTAAGGAGTCCACTCTCCTCCTTTGTAGAGCTCTTTCACTAAGTTTGAGAACTGAGTCCCTTCAGAATCCCTGAGGTGACTTTGCTTCACCTTATTCAGTCAGGTGCACCCAAAACAAGTGAAAACATGAGGAAGCCAACAACAGGCAGGTAAAGGAGACCAAACAAGGACAACAGAAAAGAAAACCCTGCAAAGAAAAGGCCCTGCCTGCCCTGGTTTTAATGGCATGTTTCTCCCAGGGAGGTGACAATGGCACCTGCCAACATGTAGGATCGTAGGATAACTTGGGTCAGAAGGGACCTCAGGAAGTCTACGTCCAACCTTCTGCTGAAAGTAGGGTCAGCTGTAGAGCCAGGTAAGGTGACCCAGAGCTCTACCCACTCTGACCTTGAACATCTCCAAAACTGGTAAGAGTGCCTCAGATGAAGTAAAAAAAAGCATCAATGGAAAGAGGTCTGAAGTCTAAGCTGCATGCAGCTTTAAAGATGCAGCTTTCCATGCTTGCTTCTTACCCATTTGTATAGCTGAGCTTCCTAATTCCTTCAGAGTCTATCCATGCTGTGCTGGTTGCCACATCGGGCAATTACAATTGACTTTACTATAGCAAATTGAAATAAAGGGGGCAAAACACATGGCAAGTCTTTTTCCCCCCAAATCAAAACAATTTAAGAACAGGGCCACTGCATGTAATTTTTTGCTTACAGTAATCCTCCTCTACACCAGAAAGCCCTCATGACAATTCTGCTCTCCAGCTCTCGCCTCAGAAACAGCCATTTGCCTTTGGGGCTCCCAGTGTTGCTACCATCCTTGCAATATCATAACACCTGACTGACACTACTTGCTTGGGAACAGAGAAAAAAGAAACACACAGTTCCCATATACCTCCTAATAAGTAAAGTTTTCAATGTCAATGTCTAGCAAGCCTGCAATTCTGACACCCATGAAACTGGACTTCAGGTGAGGTCAGAAATTTGATTCCATACTTACACAGCTTCAATTAACAGATTACTTCAGTCTCTTTTATATAAAGGGACTTTTATATTAAAGCTGTTGGGGATACAGAAGTACACTTAGAATTATACTTTTATCAGACAGAAGAGAATGGGCCCAATACAGAGTACTGAGTGCCTGTGATTGACGTGAGGGCAGACAGGATGATCAAAAAATTCCGTGTCATCTTAAATTCTCTTAATATATTATATTCACTGACAATTCTTCTGCTAGGGTCCTGCCCTGAAGCCAAACAATCAAAAGAAGATTCTATGCTGCAGCCACTTCTGTTAAACTCTGCTCTCTTTATTTTTAAAATGCAGCAACATACCAGGGTCTCTGCACTTAAAATCTGATATGAATGCAACACATCTTGCAGTACTTCAGTCTCTTTGTTTATTCCCAAAAGAACCCACTGGAGTAATTTCTACAGAAGTAGTCTAGAAAATATATATCTAGGTTTATAAAACTCCTAAGCAGAACAATGAGTAAGAAACAGATGATCAGAATTAGTTACAAATTTAATGATAATAAATTGCTTTATCAGCTGAGCTGTTCCAAAGGTGGATACTAGTAGTACAAAAATAAAACAATAATTAAAGATGAAGATCAACTGTAAGATATCTGTAATGTGTTGTGAAAACACTGCTTATTTTACTGCAGAAACGGAAAGAATGGGGTTGCGAGTGAGGAAGTAAGTTAAGATCTGAAAGAAGAAGAATCCTCCGTGTATATGTCATACACGTGCATCTTTAACCTGGTCACTGTCTTACTGAGAATGTCTAACTCTGCTCTCGTACAATCTAAATTTTCTCCTGTGCAATTGTGTGAACTACAAGGCAGAGGACTTAGGCTCTCAAGTATGCTTCCTGAATGGTGACAGAGCACCTGCTTATCCTGCTGTTACATATGTGTAAAAAAGGTTATAACATAATAGCATCCAGATACTACAGGCAGAAGTGGGTTTGCATGGTATTAGGCAATGCATAGCCAAGAAATAAAAATGGCCTTTAAAGGTAGACTTCATTTAAATATATAAACACAAACAATGGATAAAAATACCAAGCAGAAACCAGAAATTAAAAAAACACCCACAAACACCAGTATTGTGCAGAATAAATCTTTTGCATAATAAATTGAAAGAAACTTACATGCAACGGGTTCCACTTCCCAGCCTTCCAGCACAGCACAAGGGAAAGGATAAACAAGCAGAGTAAGAGACAGTATGAAGCGCTCTTTGAAGTCACTGGTGTGATTCAGACAGGACAGCTGAGGCTAATAATCACTAAAAGCAGAGGAGACTGAAGTGGGGCTTCCAGGCAAAATACAGTTCATGAATGCACTGTCTTTCATATAGAGCAAGTGGTAGATTCTGGGCTCCGTCCAGTGCAAGGCTAAGCTCTCCAGTACATTCATAGAAAGCAGTTTTCTGCAGAACAATCCCATTCACTTTGGGGGCAGTCACATGTCTAAAACATCCACTCATGCGCTCTACTTTTTAAGGGCAAAATGCCCTGTACCTTACATGATCTCTAAACATTAGTTCTACCGTCTCAATGTGAGTGTTGTATCTGCACAGCAGGTATAATGGGGCTAGCATTTCTGTGAATTATATCTTCCTGTCAAAGGTAACAACAGCAGCAAGACACTAAATTTGATCCCAAGTGGTCTTGCTGCGGGAATCCTAGAAAGAAAGTACATAGCCCTTTGCCGAATGTCATTAAAATCAAAACCCAGAAGAGGCTGTGATTTATAACTTTGCCACTAGCAAAAGTAGCAGAATTTCGATTTGTATTATTACTACTATCACTACCAGCTGTGAAATGAACACTTTGCTAACAACTACTATAAAGAAAAAAAACCAGATCTGGCAGCCCCAAGAAAGCATTTTGCTTGGGTTTTTTTTTTAATCCAATTTGCTTAATGTAGTTTGGTTCAGTGTACCAGATTATAAAAAAGAAGTGTGGAAGCACATATAAATACAGTCATTATAAAGAGTATATTAACTTATTTGACATGTGTTAGAAGGAGTGGAAAAAAGTTTCCATGAAAGGAGGGAAAAGTTTACATAAAACAGCATGTGTCTTCAGTAACGTGTTATGGGTTAGAAAGAAAAAGTAAGCAAAAAGTCAGTGACCCTGTATTGATACTGAAAACGTTAAAAGTCCTAAACATGAAACAGAACTGTGCTGTCTTACCTTGCCCTTTGAAATTGCTTTGTAGGCTGCCTTTATGATTAGGTAAGACCAAAAACAGTGCAGAATTTGAAGAATCACAAGCAGCACATTGAAGATCCACAAGGCAGGAAAATTGCCCAGAGCTTCATACAGTTCAAATAATGTTGTGTTTAATATCCTAGAAGAGAAAGGGACAGAAAAATAATAACACTTTCCTTAAGCCAACAATCTGAAAGAAGCCCTTTTTTAAATCAAGATGACAAGTACTTGATTAGATGGGATCCACATGGATAGTTGGTTCTCAGAGTAATAGTGTCTCGGACTGAATTACACAGGTGTCTCCAGAGAGAAACAACATCAAAATGTTGCTTTCAGTGTTTAACTTCATTTTGCAAACATCACATATAGAAAAAAAAGATCCTAAGTGTGCATTTCTTCTCTTCTTTTATAAAGCTGGCAGGTGTTGTCTCAAATAATTCCTTCCCTGATTAATAACAAAGATCATTTTATTCCATTTTTTTAAATAAAGCTTTTCCAACTCAACTGCCTCCAGTAGGGGTTTGGTGCCCCCACATCAGCACAGGATAAGAGCATGTATGAGGCTGTTACACTACAGTGCAACCCACATGTTCTTCAAACCGTGTTCCCAGGCCATGACAGCGAGCTGCAACCTCTCCCATGTTACACGAGACGGATCTGTATCATGAGCCAGGCAACGCTCCCTACGTACTCCCATGTGACGCCCTCTTTCCCAAACCCAATCTCAAAGCCGATGGGTTTGTTTCATTGTACACAGCTATGGATGTCTTTGCCCTCTTGGTATCAGCAAGGTGAGTGATGTGCTATGTGGAACTGAAAACAGTCTGAGACCGTTCAATTAAAGTGAGATTTCAGTGGCATGTGAAACAATGGCACATCTGTGGCAGGATTCAGCCTCTTATGGGGTTTTCTAAGAATGGGGATGGGGGGCTTTGGCTGAGTGCCCCAACATAAGCACTTATTCAGTGGAAACCTCAGCACCAACAGGAATCCAAAGTCAAAATAATCAACCAGTCAAAGGGCTTAACCCTGGGTCTTGAACATCCTGGGTGCCTGTGCTAACCGCTGAGGTACTGGGTAGCTCTGGCGGCCACTTTTTTCACAAAATCCAATTTGCACACTGCTTATGTACAAGCAAGTGCAAGGTTTAGCAGTTACATAAAGGACAGGTGGACAACAGGGATACTTGGGTGCGGCAAGGGCTGGGAGACCTTATTGCAGCTTTTCAATACTCATAGGGGGCTTATAAGAAAGATGGGGACAAACTTTTTAATAGGGCCTGTTGTGATAGAACAAGGAGTAATGGTCTAGTAAACTAGAACAGGGTAGATTTAGACTAGATATAAGGAAGAAATTTTTTATGATGAGGGTGGTGAAACACTGGAACAGGTTGCCCAGAGAGGTGGTAGATTTCCCATCCCTGGAAACATTCAAGGTCAGGTTGGATGGGGCTTTGAGCAACCTGATCTAGTTGAAGATGTCCCTGCTCATTGCAGAGGGAGTTGGACTACATGACATTTAAAGGTCCCTTCCAACCCAAACCATTCTATGATTCTATGAAATTTGGGAAGTTCTAGACATTTGAACCAATTTTTTGAGACTCAACATTTCAGATGCAGGCAGTAATAGAGATGTTACAATATGACTTCTGAAACTTTGTGAATACAGCACTAATTATTCCACCCAAGTACTCTGCCATAGCAGACAATTCAGTGTGGACCTCAGCAAACAGCCTGAGAGCAGAGAGTGGACGACAGTAGAAACATCAGCATTTTTGGAAACAAATAATGATCTATGAATGCCTGTTAATTAGGGGGAGAAAAAGAAGGCAATATAAGGATTTGTCAACCTGCATCCATTTTCCCTGCTGGTGTAAAAATTCATTAAGAAGTCCATTGGCTTTATGTTCTTTCTTTTTTTAAATTAACTATCACCTGCTAGCCACTAGATGGCACGTTTAATCAAGCAAATGACTGCCCAGCTCTTGGGCTGCTCCAGCTTTGTCTGAAGGCAGATGTAACAGGTCTCGTAAGGGCTTCTGAACAGCACAGCTCTCATTTGAAAAGTTAGAGATACTGGGCTCAGCTTTTTAAGAAGCGATCACATTTGCCACAATCCTTTCCAACAACATAAAAATCAGCTCAAGTAGTATTAATACGAAGTATGCACAGACAGCAAACCCAGAATACAACATTTAGTGGTAATGATTTATGCATATAAACAGCATTGGTCAAAAATCAGCCAGTGATTTCTCATACACTGGCCTTAATACTGTAGGGCATTTAATAATAAATTTTCTACCTTTTTATTTTTGCCTTCTTACACTAAACTACATGTTTGCTTCACAATTTATTGAGGAGTGGATGTTTTATAACCTTACTATACAGCTGTGTTTTTACACTCTTCTGTTCATGGAGTGAACATCAGAAAAAGGAACTGTTTTCCACTTTGCAAAAACCCCATCATAATATTGCTTCCGTCAGCTAAAACTCTTCAGTCTCAGCTTTGTGTAATTTGTTCTGCCAATGGTAGCTCTACACGGCACAGCAATACCCCACTTTATAATTCAAGGAGATGCTCTCACGCATATCAAAACACAGCTGTAGTCAGCACTGTTTTACTTCACCAGTACTTATTTCAGTTCTAACCACTATATCAAATTCAAACTTGAACTCAACAACTCCTGTATGTAAAGCTACCATTGTTTACATCCAACTGTCTTTTTTATGTCTAAAATTTTATATGCTCCAGAATTATAAATGCAGTTTCTACAGGTTTCTGTTTGTATTTTCATTCACTGGACCAAATTCACCTCTGGGGACTTCCACAGGAGTCAAGTCAAAAAAGCAGCATTAGAGATGTAGATGGTCTGTTCTTGCACAAGTTCAAAATATCAGGAAGACAGCAAGGCCAAAAAGAGTGTTTCTGGTTCCAAAAGCAGTTTCACTGTGCAAATGAGTCATCTACTGTGTATTAGAGATGGGAAACAAGCCTTCATTGAAAAAGCAGACCTCTTTCTAACCTGCTCATGTCTGGCAAACTAAGGACAGGACTGGAACTCTCCATTAAAGCTGCATAGAGGATCTCACTAATTGCTCAGCAATGCTAAGAGGGGTTAGTGACCTGATGTGCAGGGTAGGTGTGCAGATGGAGCTAAGGCTATATCTAAGCAGGTAGGGCTGAGGAGGAGCTGAATGAAAAATACAGGAAATGATAGAAAAAATGGAGGAAAGCAAATAAACTTTATCTCTGAGAATAAATCAATTATTCCATGTCACAAGTCTGAAATGGGGGGAAAAATCATACAGTTCATGGGCAGAATACAGAGAGAAATTCTACTTGTAGAGACTGAGGAACAGAGGGAGGGAAGAAAGGTTAGACAACTTTCCACCAATTCCACTGCTGAAAGGATTCAACAGAAGCATTTTACCCAACTACACAAATAAGGGGGACTGGAAAAAGCAGCAGGAGAATGGATTATAATGAAGGAGAAAGTGCCTATAGGATGTATATGCAAATAAATCTTAGGTTCAAATACTCAAAAAGGCATTCAGGCACTTAAATCTGCAAACATGCTTGCTGGAATTTTTCAAAGCTCTCCAGTGGTTAAATCTGGGTTTTCATAATGAATGGTAGAAACTGATTCTTGGCTATCTGACTTGAAACAGCTAGACTTGATCTCACAGGGAGAAATTCCTTTAAGCTGCAAGTGCTCTACTTCTCTGAAAACTTTGGTAAGCATTTCTCAGGTCTCTGCAATTTGAAACAAAATGTTAGCTTTTGCTTTTGAAAATACGTTCTGGACTGTAGCAATCTTTCTGAGGCCCTGAAAAATTCTGATAGCTGGATAAAACAACACAATCTCATGAAAGGTACTCTACCCTTGTTAAATGCATCCCAAGCAGGGTTGTGCACCTGGCCGCGGGAAGCTCTCAGTTTTGCATCTTGAATTAAGTAATGTGGCTGATGAAGGCAAATGAAAACAAATTCACCACTTAAGATCCAATCTACTCTTACAGAAATCTGTGGTAGACTTTCAGGAATGCTGCCACAATATCTGAGCCACTGGGAGAGGTAATTCTGTACTTACTGTACTATTGCTCTAATTGAACACTCAGAATAAAATTAACACATTTTCAACAACTACTAAACAATCAGCTGCATCACATCAGTGATAACACAGGTTCTTCCTCTACTGTCTAACTCTTTATCTAGCCAGCAAAGCCGTACTTGGGAGGCTATCAGCAACAGGCCCATACACTGACTCAGACAAGTTTACACTCCCTCCCCTCAACTTAGTGGGCACAAGTCTAGGCTCTTGGATAACAGTTATTAATTCCTGGCAAGATGTTCACTTGTCTTGCACAGGGATGGAAGGACAAAAGGGAGATGAAGCTTCAAAGAGAGATAAAGAAAGAGAGGGATGGGTGGAAGCATAAATGCTTATTTACATTTGTCTAAGAATTGCCAAAAACGTGCTGTGTTTGCTTCTGAAAGGATCCCGAGAGGAATGAAAAGAGGTGAGAAAGAAGGCCATGTGGAAAGAGCAGGCATTCTTCCAGACAGGCCCGAAATTCATGATAAACTCTGCAGAATGAAGCATAGCAGGGTGATGGGCGCTATTATCACATCCAAGGGGAGCAGCAACTGTGCAGCTGAAATGAATGCTACTGCAAGTTGGCTTAACTTCTGCAGCACTGATCAGTGACCAACATACTGTGCACGCAACAAGCTGAATGAAAGGCACGTTGTTACCACAGTGCAATAGCCCGAAGTCTCAAAGTATATCCAAGGAAAGCAAAACATGATACCAGCTTGTCTAAATAATTCAGAATAAATGTCTTTATCTCCTTTACCAAGTGTATATTAGACAACAGTATTCTATACTGCACCATAACCAGCTGTACTGGGACATCCTTCAATACTGCATTCATTACAGAGCAAATAGATAATTACGTCTAGGTGGGCATTAATGAAATTCAGATCCTATTTAGTGCAAGTAATCTGACAATACTACTGACAGCAATGCTTCGAAGTTTCTGCTTTTTTGAAGTTTTCCTTTAAAAAATAAACAATTGCACTTACTTCTGCCCCAAAACATATCAGTTTATTCTCCATTATACGTGCTAAGAAATGACC